GAAGGCGCAGACAAGCAGGGTCTGCACATTTCATTAGGTGGACATGCCCAAAGGTTAATTGATTGCCAAAGGTTAATTGATAAGGAATTTGGATTTACGTATCTAATTTCATTTATTCTATAACACAGTATAATATAAAAAAATCTCCCTGGAAAGCCCTTCTGAACCAATCCATAGAGGCATGAAAAATGCTAAAGAATTGATCTAGTTTATTTTTCTGACAGCTAGGATAGTAAATTGTTAGGCCATGGAAATCCTCATCCTTCTTGTGTGCATTGATAAAAGTCAAATTGTCATGGGTAATGATGAATGAAAAACTAACAGCCATCTTTGAATAATAAAATACCTTTTTTCGACAAAATATGACAACCATGGACACGACACCATTCAGCTGAACAATGAATAACTTAGCATGTTGGATCTTGGTGCATCTCTTGTCTCGTCCTTTTTCTTCTTTACTTTTTTTCCTTCCTTTTTCACGCATTTTCTCTTCTTTCTTCACTTTCACATTGCTTTTTGGAGTTTGTTAAGGTTTAAATTTGGCAATTTGCGACTCATGATTTCCATTATGAAAGACATGACCTTGTTTTCTAGTAAGGAAAAACTGTTTGGGATACTATAACATGCATCCATCCACATAAAAGTATATGACAATGACAAATATTATGTTGACAATTGTTCTTAATGTTTTTTATATGGAAGTGTATGTGCCTTATTGTTATCATGTCTCTTATTGTTACTGAATGTAAAGCTTTAAAATATCTTTGGCTGCCCACCCATTTTTTTTTTCTTTTAACCCCCACTTACCACATGGTCAGGGGCGGACTGACCATTTGGAAACTCGGGTACTGCCCGAGGGCCCGGGGTCAGTAGGGGGCCACATGAGATGCCCCTGGTACCTTTTTTATAGGCTTTTTTGAGTTTGGGCAAGGACACAGGGGCCCCATGATCCCCTATTGCCCAGGGGCCCCATGCGTTGTCAGTCCGCCCCTGCACGTGGTCCATTTTGAATATTTTAGCTACTTACCAATGAAGAGGATCCACCCTTGTCCAACTGAGATCCTCTTGTCTTCTGCCACCACTCAGTTTTGCAGTGCCATGTTTCCTGTGATGTCATCAAGAGGCCTGTCGATTCTTCTGAGTTCAACCAGCGTGCCTCCTGATGATTTGTCACTAGGTACACCCCACCCCTCCTCCTTTCTGAATGAAGGGCTTTGCCTCCTGGGATATGTGACATGCAATGCATATCCAAAAGGCACAATGAGCACCGTGCCCATCATTTGTCTAAGCATTTCATGTAGCGGAGGGAAGAAGGGGTGGCCCGAAGGAAAGTCTTCTCAGAGGATGGAGATCCATTTTAATAACAATAAAACTTATTGGAACAGAGTGAGAAAATCAAGAAAAGTAAAGTAAAGGTAAAGAAAGAAATATATAAAAGCTGGAAAGGCATACTAGAGGATGGGAGGGGGGGGACTTTGGACTTTTTGTAAACTTTTCATAGAGTTGCCCAGTATGGCCGCCATTTTCTGTTACTTAGGTTGCAAATCACTTTATTCTTGAATAGTTCAACTTTTTTTTTAAGCGGTATATCAGAAATCTAATTATAGATTAATTGGTACAAAACAAAAAACAAGAATTGAAATTGGTGGGGCCAGATCAAGAAGTTCCCACCACTGGGTCTAAAATAAGTTAAGTAATTAACCACTTGCCGTCCTCCTGCTGTTTATAAACGGCAGGGCGGTGGCACTCCAGGGGCGGGTTGCCGTTCCTAAACGGCACCCGCATTTTCTAGCTGTGCGCGCTCCCTGGGAGCGCGCAGCACCTCGATCCGGTGCACGCTGTGTCCTCCGGACACAGTGAAACACCGATCGTCGGACGGGACCTCTGTACGAGGTCCCGATCATGTGATCACTGATTGGCAAATCAGTGATCACATGCAAAGTAGTAAGCAAGATGTCACTTGTGACATCATTGCTTACTACGTGTGAAATCTGTTAATGATCACAGAGGTCACATGGTACAAGGCTATTCACAACAGCCTTGTACCATGTGACAAGGTGTGACCAATCACAGCTCACTCAGTATTTCTCAATGGCTGCAAGACTGCAGACAGAGAGAAAGAAAAATGATTGCTTTTACATCTATATGGGTGTAAAAGCAATCACTGTAAAAAAAAAAAATCTTCATCACCCCCCACAAGCAGTACAGTGTCCCCATGGTGACACTGTACTGCTAGGGTGACAGTATGTAAAAAAAAAAAAAAAACCCATAAATAATAATAAAAAAAAAAAATAAAATTAAAATTAAAAAAAAAAAGTTTAAAAAATATCATTTTTGGTTATAAACTAATTTGGCTTATTTTTTTTTTTACTAAAAATATAACGGAATACATTTTGGTCAAGATTTATGATGAAAGATTATTTATTTGCAAAATTTTATAAGAAAAACACTTTTTTTCAAAATTTTGGGACTTTTTCATTAACATAGCAAAAAAAATAAAAATCCCCAGTGGTGAGTAAATACCACCAAAATAAAGCTTTATCTGTCTCAAAAAAATGGCAAAAAATGAATATGGGTACAGTGTTGCATGACCGCGCAATTGTCATTCAAAGTGTGATAGCATGAAAGCTGAAAATTGCCCCAGGAAGGGGGTAAAAGTGTCCGGAGAGGAAGTGGTTAAAATGGAAAGGCTTTCTTTTATTCAGAGTTTCATTAGCTTGTTTATGAAGGAGGAGGAACCAGGGAAGGAAAATACATTAACAGTTTAAACTTCAACTTTAGGGCCGGTTCACACTACATGCATTCCAGTGAGTTTTTATCTTCTGATTCCAAAACACACAGAAAGTAAGTTACATGGTTGGCAATGGCATAGTTCACACCAGCGCTTGTAGTTCCAGTATGTTCTGGTTCTAGAAAAAAAAAGTAGAACATGCTGCATTTTTCCTGCACACAACTGTATTGGAACAAGTTAGAACACATCAAAAATGCACTGGATTGCAATGGAATGCATCAAAAATGCACCAGACCCCAAATGACCCAAAAAAGCATGTGGAACACTTAAAAAATGCCCTGAAACAAGCCAAAAATGCATCAAAATGTGCATGCAAAAACGCATCTGGACTGCGTTTCTATGGTGTGAACCAGCCCTTAATGAAACAGGCACTCTATAATGTGGTCAAATGTGGTCAGAGATCTTTACAGTCCTACCATCATATTTACAGCCACTACTCACCATCTGTTGCATCTAATAGTCAATTTTGCCCATATTCAATATATTTCAAAATATATTTCAATAAATATATATATATACTGCATGTTGAAATGTGTTTTTATTACAAAATATATGAAAAACATTTAAAAAAATAAATTTCAAATATACTGCATGTCTTTAAAAATACAAATCTACATTTTTGGAATGCATTTACAAATATATGTAAAATATATGTTAAAATGACTTTTTTATATTATAAAAATATATATTTTTTAAATATATTCTTCAGATTTTTTTAACATATAAAAAAGTCATTTTAAAATATATTTTTGCATATATTTGTAAATGCATTCCAAAAATGTAGATTCACCCATCCACGCCATTAACAACGAATGGCTAGTTTCAGATGCGGTAGCTGCATCAGTTTCAGTTTCTCAGGATTTTACATTTTATTATCATTATTATTATTATTATTTATTATTATGATAATACAGGATTTATATAGCGCCAACAGTTTACGCAGTGCTTTACAATATTAAATGGGACAGTACAATTACAATATAGTTCAATACAGAAGGAATAGGAGGGCATTTACTGCAAATACAGAAAATACTTGTTGATCCTGACAGAATTCCAGTATCCATGTAACTTTGTGTGCACGACACTGAAATCTCAAACAATGTTATCTTTCCCTAATATGTTCTAAGAATTACAAATGCACCTTCCCACTACACAATGGTGATGAGGAAATGTGGAGGTGTTTGTAGATACAGTGCACATTGTAATCATATGTGGGCAGCACAGTGGCTAAATGGTTAGCAATTCCGCCTGGAAGTACTAGGGTCGTTGGTTCAAATCAAATCCCAGCCAAGTCACCTCCTGCCTGGAGTTTGCATGTTCTCCCTGTGTCTGCGTGGGTTTCCTCCAGGTACTCCGGTTTCCTCCCACACTCCAAAGACATGCTGGTAGGTTAATTGGATCCTGTCTAAATTGGCCCTAGTCTGTGTATGTATGAATGTGAGTTAGGGACCTTAGACTGTACAACCCTTGAGGGTTAGGGACTGATGTGAATGTACAATATATGTAAAGCGCTGCGTAAATTGATGGCGCTATATAAGTACCTGAAATAAATAAATATAACAGGAAGTGTGTTACTGATGGGATCAGCAGGAGATAATAAGGGGGAACATACTGAAGAAAGAAAACTAATGACATCACCTCATCTAAGGCCTAAAAAGTTACAATGTATCAATATATCAATTTTTTTATTTATGTGTTTAGATATGCTTTAAAGTGTTACTAAACCCACTACAGTAAAATCAGTCTGTATATGCAGTCAAGCATGCTTGTTATACTCACTGAGGAACGTAAGGGGTTAATCCTCTGCATAGTGTGAAAACACTGTTTTATTCTGACTTCTCTGATCCTCCCCTTCTTCCAGTGTCCCATTCTTATCTCCTGATAAAACATATCGTGTGGAGTCACTCTGCACATGCTCAGTTTGGTGTGTATTACTAGAGAGGTTTTTTTTTTTCTTGGGAGGGTGCATGTGATCAGCACAGGGCCAATCAGCACTGTCCAGACAGAGGTTGGGGGTTCTGCATCCTCCTAGAGCAGAAATAAAACTCCTACAATCTTTAACCAGTGCTTAGCTAGACATTGATAGAAGTCACATGACTGCTCTAACTGCTGATGAGAAAAGGTATTTAGCAGATTATATTTACTAAAATAATTGCATTTCCATGTTCTGTGTACTGTGAGAGACCAGATATAGTGAATACAGGGTCCGGGGAGACCAGATATAGTGAATGCAGGGTCCTGGGGAGACCAGATATAGTGAATGCAGGGTTCGGGGAGACCAGATATAGTGAATGCAGGGTCCTGGGAGACCAGATATAGTGAATGCAGGGTCCTGGGGAGACCAGATATAGTGAATGCAGGGTCCGGGGAGACCGGATATAGTGAATGCAGGGTCCCGGGAGACCAGATATAGTGAATGCAGGGTCCGGGGAGACCAGATATAGTGAATGCAGGGTCCGGGGGGGTCAAGATATAGTGAATGCAGGGGGGGACAAGATATAGTGAATGCAGGGTCCTGGGGAGACCAGATATAGTGAATGCAGGGTCCGGGGAGACCAGATATAGTGAATGCAGGGTCCTGGGGAGACCAGATATAGTGAATGCAGGGTTCGGGGAGACCAGATATAGTGAATGCAGGGTCCTGGGAGACCAGATATAGTGAATGCAGGGTCCTGGGGAGACCAGATATAGTGAATGCAGGGTCCGGGGAGACCGGATATAGTGAATGCAGGGTCCCGGGAGACCAGATATAGTGAATGCAGGGTCCGGGGAGACCAGATATAGTGAATGCAGGGTCCGGGGAGACCAGATATAGTGAATGCAGGGTCCGGGGGGGGGGGGACAAGATATAGTGAATGCAGGGTCTGGGGAGACCAGATATAGTGAATGCAGGGTCCGGGGAGACCAGATATAGTGAATGCAGGGTCAGGGACCAGATATAGTGAATGCAGGGTTCGGGGAGACCAGATATAGTGAATGCAGGGTCCTGGGAGACCAGATATAGTGAATGCAGGGTCCTGGGGAGACCAGATATAGTGAATGCAGGGTCCGGGGAGACCGGATATAGTGAATGCAGGGTCCCGGGAGACCAGATATAGTGAATGCAGGGTCCGGGGAGACCAGATATAGTGAATGCAGGGTCCGGGGGGGGACAAGATATAGTGAATGCAGGGTCTGGGGAGACCAGATATAGTGAATGCAGGGTCCGGGGAGACCAGATATAGTGAATGCAGGGTCCGGGGGGACAAGATATAGTGAATGCAAGGTCCAGGCAGACCAGATATAGTGAATGCAAGGTCCAGGCAGACCAGATATAGTGAATGCAGGGTCCGGGGAGACCAGATATAGTGAATGCAGGGTCCGGGGAGACCAGATATAGTGAATGCAGGGTCCGGGGGGACAAGATATAGTGAATGCAGGGTCTGGAGAGACCAGATATAGTGAATGCAGGGTCCGGGGAGACCAGATATAGTGAATGCAGGGTCCGGGGGGACCAGATATAGTGAATGCAGGGTCCGGGGAGACCAGATATAGTGAATGCAGGGTCCGGGGAGATATAGATATAGTGAATGCAGGGTCCGGGGGGACAAGATATAGTGAATGCAGGGTCCTGGGAGACCAGATATAGTGAATGCAGGGTCTGGGGAGACCAGATATAGTGAATGCAGGGTCTGGGGAGACCAGATATAGTGAATGCAGGGTCTGGGGAGACCAGATATAGTGAATGCAGGGTCTGTGGAGACCAGATATAGTGAATGCAGGGTCTGGGGAGACCAGATATAGTGAATGCAGGGTCCTGGGGAGACCAGATAGAGTGAATGCAGGGTCCGGGGAGACCAGATATAGTGAATGCAGGGTCCTGGGAGACCAGATATAGTTAATGCAGGGTCCTGGGAGATCAGATATAGGGAATGCAGGGTTCGGGGAGACCGGATATAGTGAATGGAGAGTCCGGGGAGACCAGAGATATAGTGAAAGCAGGGTCTGGGGGGACCAGATAGAGTGAATGCAGGGTCCTGGGTTAGTAACACTTTAAGGGCTTGTTCATACAGTTGGTCAGTGGGAGGTAAGTATGGAAAAGAAAACCCTGTAAACTTTTAAAGACATATATATAACAAAAATATAAATCCTACAATAATAGCTTAAAAGATCTGCATTGTAAAAATTCATTATATTTCCCCTTAAAAACAAGGATCATTCATCCAACTTGCTAATTTTTTGAATTTGAGATGATTATAACTTGATTGGTAATAGATTTAATGACACGGTAGTTGCTGATTCTCTAGCGATATGAGATGCCGATCCTTCTGGAAGGAAATTTGAATCTGTTAAGTAATATAAATGTCATCATATATATTTTACCTGTTTATTTGTTTTGAATGTTCAGTGCCAGAGTCAGTTCATGTTCAGGGAATTTCCTACAGTTTAAATATAGAAACTTAGGAAAAAGTGTTGGCAGTAGACATTCTGTATCTTTCTTGTATGCTGATGTGCTAGAACTGCTAGAACTGATTTACCAAGTCTACTGTCTAGCAGGAATGCACAAACAGATTATTGAATCATATGACCTGGAGGGCGCTCAATTCATTCATTCCATGAAAGTCAGTAATGAATCCCAGTGAAATACAGTGTGGTCACATAAGGCTCAGGACACCTTTTTACATATTGCTTATGTTATTAAAGTGAACCTGTTCTTTTGCTTTATCCATGCAAGGCAAAGTATTTTTGCTGATCAGATATGCAACAGTTAAAAATCAACAAATATGGTAGGAAAACTGCTGTTTGGGCAATATGCACAACAAAGAAACCCCGCTAGAGAAGCCTGGCCCATGGAAGCTGTGGAAGGGGCAGGAAGCCACCCACCGGCAGAGGTGTCAAAACCATCTCCAGGTCAGAGCACCTCCAGGCAACAACACAAACCCACATTTCCTGAGGAAGTGAATGCTGCTTCACGAAACGCGTCGAGATGTATGGTGTTGTATGATTACCTTTGTTTTTGCCTGTTGTTCAACAGCACTTTAGCATCTGAAATTGCTGATTCATGTATTACTGGTATATTTAATGCTTGTTTGTACGCTTTCATAAATGTGTTTTAATATTCATGTTTTGAATAGAATGTGTTTGAATTTGTATGTTTTTTGGTTTTTCTGATTAGCGTACCTCTTTAACCTCTTACTGCCGGCGCTTCCTGGCCCTTTAAGAGTTTCAGAAGCCTGGAGGCAGGCGGGGGTTTAGGGTCATGTGACGGCCGTTATTTGCCATCACGGTGGTCACATGATCAGAAAAGATCCAGATCGAAAGGGAGATCGGTACCGTTCTATGCGTCACGGACATATGTGCTGGGAGGACGCATGGCGCGTGCTCTCAGCACATATGTATTTTCTAATGGCACGCAAATATGTGGCCGCTCAATGTCAAGGCTGAGACGCCTAGAGGCCGCATATTTGCGTGCTCTCGGCGTCAGGGGTTAAAAGTCCCATGAGCTTTCTGTTTGTATGAGTTAGTTCATAGTTTATTAGAAACATCTTTGGCAGCTTTTTCCTATGGGGAGAGGTCCTAGGGCAGAAGAACTGTACGAGAAGACTTATGGTAAGAATGGACATCGCTTTGAAATTAAAAACACCCTCAGTGTTCCTATATGCATGTAAAAACAAAGAATGGAAACAAAAAGTGAACACTATCACTTTAAATGAAGTGAATGTGAAGAACAAATGAAAAAAACATCAGTGTACCTACAGTATATATGTGTAAAAACACTGAAAATGTATAGGTTTAAAGTGAGAGCAAATAGTTGGACACTGTCCCTTTAAGTGAATTTGGGGTGAAGTTGCTTGAATATGCAACTCTATTACATAGCATTACATATAACAAGTCCATAAAAGAGTCTCTATATGAGAATAAAACGTGGTTAAACAAATAAAGGTGCATCTCTTTTAAATAATATTATCCAAACAGTGAAGGGGTGACCTGAGGATGCTCTAGAGGACGAAACACGTTGGACGGAACTAAAGAGTGCTGACGTCACTTAACCATTGTATAGCAGTGAATGTAGAAGGCACTCAGAAATATAAGGAGAACAGAACTACGCAAGCACTAGTTTTATTACACCGTTTTGGCAAGTCAAAGCCTGCCTTTCTGTCTTGTTACTAGACATTTAATATGCTCCAGTGACCTGAGGATGCTCTAGAGGGCAAAACGCGTTAGCCGGAGCTAAAGAGTGCTGAGTCACTTAAAGTGAGTAGGCACTCTAAAAGGAGAACAGATTTTTGTACACATTTTGGCAAGTCAAAGCCTGCCTTTCTGTCTTGTTACTAGTATATGCTCAGTGAATGTAGTTGGGCACTCTGATGAAATTTATCAGTGAATGTAGGAGCACTCAGAATTTAAAAGGAGCAAGCACTAGACTAGATTTATTACACCGTTTTGGCTAGTCAAAGCCCGCCTTTCTGTCTTATTACTACACATTTAATAAGCTCCAGTGACTACAGTGTCTTGCCTGCCACTCACATCTGTACATTTCTGAAGCTTTGTAAAAAGTCCTGCTCATTGCATCTTTGATGCAGTTAGTAGTAAAACACTTGAAATATAGTTCAGTGTTAACACATGTAAAATGCATATAAAATGTGCCTAAAATGCACAATAGTTAACAACACACCTAAAGCATGCATATGTGAAGAGGGCCTTAGGTACCATCTTTATTAGTGTACTCTTGTGCCACTAGTTTCAATCCAGGAAAATCCTACAAGATATATTGTTTGTCTGAAGCTGACAAGTCATTTTCTACAAAAAGACGCATCGTACTGAGCAACAAGACTCGATCACAGGAAGTTTAATTTCTCCCTTGGCTTGCAGCCCAGTGCCATCTGAACTAATTAAAAACAGAGCCACGCTGGTACAAGGTTCAGTCCCAGCGTTTGACAATAACAGAGGAAACCAGGGGGGTATCTAATGAGAATAGTTTGTTTTCCAGTGTTGGACAACTATGTCAATTACTGGAACGGCGGCTATGGACTAGCATGCTTGCTGCGAGATAGAAGGAATGTGATTTTGCATATTTCTGTGCAATTCTCAAGGCAGCTGTGATTCATGACAAGCGTGTGTTCTTCTGACGCTGAAATACTCAATGTATGGCTAAGGATGCATGGCCATTTGGGTCCAAACCTAATTTTTCTTGTTTACACGTTCAGCAAACAGGGTCTCCTGTGATGTCACTGACCAAATTTGGCCATATCCATATTTGGCTCATGATGTCAACGAGGAAACTCTACCTCTTTGTTCACTTTTGAAGTCCACTTTTGTTGTAGAGGGCTTCTAGATTCTGATAAGCCTCATGCCCACAGACCCCCATACCTACCTGGCCAGGGTTGTAGGGAAAAGGCCCTTTTCCTCATGAACAAGTGTACAAGATGAATTGCCAAAGGCATACCGCCACCAACGTACCTTCTCAATCTTGAATGTGTGAGGCCTATTATGGTTTGGGAAGGGGATGGGGGTAGACATGTACTTGTCCCTTCCTTTCCTGGTCATCCAAACTTATTTTTGGGATGGACCTCACACTTTTTCTTCTTCTTTGTATTGTTTCTGTTGTATTATTTTTCTTTGTAACTATCAATTTTGCTGTAGTAGGTGGTATACATCATACAGATGCCCCATTTCACAGGCAAGTAAAAGGCACTACCCAGGTATTTTGCATTTTTAGTGTTTCACTTAAAGCACTATTGACATCTCTGTTCTAAATATAACAGATTTTTTTAAAAAATGTTTGCTTTGGTACATGTTCCGCAGGACAGTGGCCAACCCTCAATGCCATTTGTTTGACAGTCCATTGACCATTAGCCTTATTACTGATCTTTGACATTTGTTTCCCATTGACTTCAATGGGATTTGGAAAGATTGTTCACGTCAAGATTGTTTCAATAAAGACTGTGACAAGATCATTTCAATAAAGACAATTCGTATTAATAAAATTAATAAAAATGTGGCGTTTTTACTGTAAAAATGTGTTTTATAATTAAGTCATTTTTGTCTTTCACATTTTATCAATTTAAATACTAATTTTAAATTCCACCTCTAGTGGCTATCACCAAGAGAGATAGTACAGTGGTTTATGTGCAGACCCCAGATGCAGAGCAACACAGAGCGGGGGAGAAGCTCCTCCAGTCTTGTCCTTAATTCTGATGTCACATGACATAAAGGCAAGTGGAAGCCTGAGAGGACCTCTCCTCACTCAGCTCAGGTTCCGCTCTGCATCTGAGGTCTGTTAAGTGTTTTGCATGGGGAGATTTTTCCTGGAGACAGGGAAGGTGGAGACTTTTTCTTTTTTCAGGGGAGATGGCTGAATTGATTCTGGGGAGTTACCCATTTATTGTCTTGATTGCCTCTTTGCTGCCTTCATATCGTCACATTAGCCCATTTGCTGTCTGTATATAGTCAAAATTTGCTGCTTGTGTAATATAGTAACTGCTCATTTGTTACCCACATATTGTAAACATTGACTGCTTGTTGCCCACATATTTTATAAGGTTGCCCATTTGTGCTTCATGTATTGTCAGGATTTCCATTTTTTTCCTACCCCTACCCCCAAAGAGGCTACTGTGGTTTAGATAAGTTCATTCCCCAAAAAAGTGCATGGCAGCCAGGCACACAGCAACAGTTCATTCACGTTGGCTCAATAAACAGTCTACGGGTTGTCTTTTTGAAAGTTTATTTGCTTGTTGAACTTGGGAGGGAATTTTGGGTGATGCGGGATACTCCAAAATGTTATGTATTGCTAGCAGAGTACACTTCTTACTCAGTA